CCGCAGAGAGCCGAGATTGGAAAAGGGGAACTATACGATGTACACGCTGCGGAGAAAAACTGTCCCAGCTACCTTCCCCGTCTTGAAGCGAAGCAGTAACAATCGAAAGATCCTCTGGAGACGGAAGCAAAGGATTGGTCTCGGCAGAAAACAAAAGCGAATAAGTAAAAAAGAAACCGTATGCATTCGGATTGCATACCTTTCCGTCCTCATGCGGTCACGAAAAGGGAATGCAGTCCTCCTCGACTGATGCACTGTCAATACGAACATTTAACCAGTGACTATTTCCGTGCGAGGCCATAAGTTAACTCGTCGTGTCGTCTCCTCGGGATTCAGTAAGCCCTCAAGATGATCAACGCTGAGGATTATTCCCCGCTCGTAACTCAACGTCAAGAGACCAACGAGTTTTTGCAAGCTGTGTGGGTTCAATTGGCTGATCGACAGCCCGAGCCTGAGAAGGTATCGAACAATGATCTCCAAAATCGGAAACCACTAATGACATTGCAATAGAAATACGTCGTAGCACGTAAAAAAACCATTGGGCGCAACTTTATCGCTCTCTCCGGCTAGCGGAAGGCAAAAATTGACTGCCTCTGGGACTCGGCAAAATTCTCGAATGAATTCAAGACCATTGGAACGAGCCGAACTCGGGCATTCGGAAGTATGGTTGGTATCAAACGAAGATGGAACCCAGGTTCCAGGTCTGGCAGATCCTGACTCGCCTCCTATCGCCCAATACGCCTCATGGTCTCTCGGGTCGACTAATGGAAACGAGGGCTCCTCCTTCAGAACTTCGACTTGAGGCTGCGAGTTCGTTTCTTCGGAGCTGCATAAATCAGAACTGGTTAAGGAACGAGTCCTTCTTTTTGAAAACATGTTTAGCAACAAAGAGAGAAAGAGATTCAAAGGGAGAAGAAGAGAGAAAACTTCTTGAACCTTAGATAAGTTATGGAAGAGAATGAGTAAAGAATTTGAAAATTTACTCCATGTACTTATAAGGAAAAGTTTTACTATTCACCATTGGACTTTTGGCCATTAAGTTCCGCCTAATCCTACTAAACTTGCCGAACAAGTTTGAACTGCTCGTAAGAACTCTACGATTCTTATGAGCTGGGGGGCTAACTGTTGGGGAAAATCGGTACGACGGAATCATCGACCAAAACGTTCTGCAAAAATAAAAATACGTTTTATAAAACTCGTGAAGCCGTTTTATAAAATTCTAAGAAATTTCCGAACAAAGGAAATCCGAGGAAAAAGTTGGAAATCATAATCTTGGAAGAACGAACGAAAAAAACGCCGATTACACGATTGTCCGAGTTAAGCGCAAAACCGCAAAAAAACCGCATCTGCCGTAAAACCGCGAGCAGGTTCGACCGAGCCGAGTTCAACGTAGGTTCAGCTCACCGTACGGTAAGCTGGTTCGGCCAAACCAGCTCACCAAACGGCGAGCTAGGTGGCATCGAGCCAGCTCGCTGTACGGCGAGCTGGTTCGACCAAACCAGCTGGTTCAGCTCGCCATATGGCGAGCTGGTCACTTCATGAACAGCTCGCCGTACGTCGAGTTGCCTATCCCAAGCCTCGACCTCCCACGTCCTCGAATCAAGGCATACGTCCTTTGGCTCGATCATCTTCTGAACCACGGTTGAAACGTCTCTCGTTTCGTCTCGATCCGTCCTATCGTTCAAGTTTGACGATAAAAACCGTAAAGTCTTGTTTCTCGAAAGAACTCAAGGAAATTGTATAAAACGGCAACAGTTAAACGAAACACCGAACATTTCCTAACTATACGATTTGCTCGAGATTTTTTGTTAAAAATCCTAAAAAACGCGTTTTTAATAAAACCTTGAGTAAATCGTAGAGAACGGCAACGATTAACCGAAACATCGAACACTACCAAACTTTGCGATTAACTCGAGAAACTTATTTAAAAATGGCATCACATGAGGAAACGATCTCGTATAAAGTCATAAAACGGTTTTCTTGCAAAACGGCTCGAAAAGTCCTAAACCGCGATAAAAGGCCTATCTCGCGAGTTTCGCGAAGTCAAGCCCAAAGATACGACGACGTTTTGGAAAGAAGATAAATTTCAAGTTTGAAGATAAATGTCAAGTTTGAGGATAAATAGAAGATTTCCGCGAGAAAAAAAGAAAGATAAAGATAAATGTAAGATTCTCGATAAACTCAAATCTGGGCGAAATGGAAGGACTAAACCGCCTAGGAAGGGAATATATAAGCAAGAGGCAGAGGACAGAAGCAGAAGATGATTTTCAAGAGCTTTCACCACCAGAAACTTACCACTTTGGATTTTTTTTCCGTTTTTGTTATCGAGCTGCGCCTCAACTAGGGTTTTAGTCTTAGACTGCTAGGGTTAGGATCTCGCCGACGGCTCACGTGGCTAAAGCTTACTCTGGTTGTACTATTCTTACGCAGATTCGGAATAAGACTCTTTTCGTTCTCAATCTCGTTTTTCTTTACATCTCTTTAGCTAATTCATATTAATCGCGTTCTTGATTGTTCTTGTGCGGTTCCGCAGATAGCCGGGTCCTCTGGGAAATTAGGGTTTACTCTAAGTTCTCATATTTACGTAATCTTGACAGTAGGTGAATTTCGGACAAACACTCTAAGTTCTCATATTTCCTTGTCTAATCTCGTAATCATCCTGGCACTGAAGATCCAGACAAACAGAAAAAGAAGGAGGGAAAAAGACACTAACCTTTGCCGCCAAAGTTGGGCCTGGCGTTGACACCAAAACTTATCCGGAGACTTCAATGACATGCACAAAGCAGCCAAGAACATTACTAATTGCAAACTAAAAGATTTACCATCAGCACTAGATGTGTAACATGACTCATAAGTGACACTGTCCCTGCCAAGACCAGAGTCGAAACACCTTTTGCTGACTTTGAGAAGTGAAAATCGGATGCATTCATTAAGCATTCCACCAGTGTCGACGGTGAATCAGCCGAACAATAAAACCTAGAGTTAAACTCCGACAAGGAAGGCCGTCGCCACCAAACATATGAAACAGGAAGTGACAATCAACCAGGAATATAAAGTGAGAAAGGTCCATCGAGCAGCTACTAGAAGGCGATAAACCACCTTTGGATGAAATTCATAGACCCTAACAAGCTGGAGCCAGGCACTGGCACCATTACTTCCTGCATACGACGGTCCACAACTCACCTCTGCGATAACCAATCACTAGAGCTCACTTGTCTTGATCGGAATAGGAAGCACATCTCCAAGACACCATAAAGATCCGAAGAACCAGATGTCAAAGCCCACTCCGAGCAATCTATAGCACCACTGCAGTCGTCAAACAAAGGAGTCAATCGGATAACCCCGCAGCTGAGTATCGAGACCACTAGACAGATATGAGGATGAAAACAGATCTGAAACAACCCAAAAACTGAACCCCTCCAAAGAAACCAGGCCGTTTCTCTGCGCCTGAACTCCAAAGCAAGAAAATCACTGCCAGTATGGAGCATCCTCGCGAGCAGATAAACTCTCTGGGGATGAAACCCGGAGCCAGAGTCGAGAGCAAGATGAAGGAGGTGAGA